CTACTAGATCAACAAAGTGTAAAATCCACTCTTCTAAAGAGAGTTTGTCTACTTCATTCATTTCATCTATTGATCTGTAAGGGAGAAAGTGTTTTTCTCCTTAGTGGTCTGTGATTCTCAACACAAGGAAAGGAAATTCCTAAGTGTTGGAGAATTTGAGTCTTGTAAATGTTACAAGCATAGTGAAAAATCTCAAGTGGGAGACTTGAGGACTGGATGTAGGTAAGGTTGGCCGAACCAGTATAAAATCAAGTTTGCAATTCTCTTTCCCTATACTTTTAATTTTGATTGTGAAGTTTTTGCATCATTACATTCAAATTGTTTATGATTTTGAATTTATAAGGCAAAAGTTAGAAAAACTTGAAAAGTGAAGAAAAATTAGATAACTTAATTCACCCCCCCTCTTAAGTTATACGAGGCTACTTGACTAACAATTATGATCAATAAACATACTCATATCATATTCAACCATTCATACATATCATCACAATCATACATATGAATCATACCTCACCATACATCATATATCATACATACATGATCTAAACTTCGACTTTAAACATGCATAAGCATCAATTTAAATTAATTATTTATAAATATAATCACGATCGGTGCAGTCAGCTCGCGCCTAGCCTAACACCAACCCAAGAGCTCTAAGCTCTTCCACGCCTAACGCGCTCAACCTGCACCCGGCCTAAATCTATTTAAAGAGTTCAAAACTCTCATCCAAACTAACAAATTCAACCACATGCAAACAATCTAGCTTCCCTTACCTGAAAATTGGCTCAGATAGCCAAAAATTGAACAAAAGTAGAATTTCCCTTTGAGGCTCAACTCGGAACTTCAATCCTCCCAAAACAAGCTTTCTAATCTGAATTTCAAGAAAAGACAGAAGGAGTTATTGATCTAGAGGAGAAAAGGAGTTAAACAGAGAAATTTGGGAGAGAAAGGAGCTCACTGACCCAGAGACCTTCTCTCTAAAACTTCTCTCTAGAACCTCTAATTCTCCTCACGACCCCCCTCACCCCTATTTATAGGAAATCCGGAGTGGCTAGAACGGCCTGTACCGATGCCGGAACGGCCCGTTCTGAACTACCAGATCACGCACAAAATCCACGCCCAGAACGGCCCGTTCTGAAATCAGAACGGCCCGTTCCGGGACTCATTCGGAACGGCCCGTTCTCCCTATGGAACGGCCCGTTCTCCCTTCGGAACGACCCGTTCTCCTTCCCAAAACGGCGCGTTCTCAACTACAATATGTAGTTCAATTCAGTAGTTTGAAACGGCCCGTTCCAGTTTGGGAACGACCCGTTCTGGGCTACTGAATCAGCCTCTTTTCTTCTTTTTTTTTTTTAACAATGTTACATCATGCCACGTGACATGACATCGTGACACGTGGCATGATAGCATGACACGTGCCATGTCATCATGCCATGTGTTATGACACGTGTCAAATCTGTTAAATATTTAAACAAAAGAAACGAAAGGTCAAACATTGAAATAAATTTTAAAAATATGAGACTAAATTGATTCAATTAATTAAAGTAGGACTAAATTGACACTAATAAATAATATAAGGGACAAAAAATGTATTTTTTCCTTGAATAAAATACCAACAAGGAATTATAATGTAACAGAAACTCAATAATAATTGTAATAATTACTAATAATAACACTCTTCTTCAATGTCATTCTATCAAAGCAAAAATCTCCCTTTATGTTTCACCCTCATCAATCACATCCTCCCTAGTCCCTATACCTGTTCTAATCTTGCAAATAGTATCCAGCCCAAACAAAAAACATACAAATATAAGAAGTGAGAATACATTTCATCCACAAACAACATATATAAGACATAAAGATAGACACACATACATCTATAACATCAATCACGTCTCACTCATATAAACATCATTCCTTACATCGACAATAACTATCTTCATACATTCATTCATCATTCATAACCAACAAGTCATACAACATATATCAATTACCAAAAAGACTCGTGTAATGAGTATTCCTAATTTTATATGCACGTGGTACCAATCTTCTCATCATTATCGAGAATACAAATTAGTCTATGAGTAATGAAACATGACCATCCCATCGAATAATGTAGGGACTACCCATCAATAATGATCCCCACAAACTAGCTTAACCAGGTGATGTCTATCAAGGTCCTGTCAAAATGTTATAATTGATAATGATATTCTTTCATTCTTGTAAGAGGTTTCCCCACCATAACATTCATGGGCACAAAGTAGATGACCTATGTTATCCATCCACATAGACTCACACTATTCCACAAACAAAACATGTATGCATGGACTCAATACACACATCACAATAATACAATATGCACACTCAACTCCTCAAGTGTTAGTTCATAGCACTGGACTTATTCATTACATTTTATTATCAATATTTTCATAATATACATCATCAAAGAATTCATCATAGCATTCAATGGTATCTCAACAATCAATAGTACTCTTCATACATCATCATAAGTATTAGCATATTAAGTTTCATAATTTTACACACCATTACTCATTAATTCCTTTTCTTAGTATACAATAACAATTTCTCTTTATGGTTCCTAATTTATTAGTTTAATTCTTAAAATAAAGCATCTCGATAAGGAAAAAGGTGTGGAGCTTGGTGAGAATGGATTCACATTCGATGTGGAGAAGTCAGGAGTCTTTTTGCCAAACTCACATTCAGCATGGGATCACCTACACCTGGCATGACAAGGTTTGGGACTTGGCAACACTTCACACTCAACACTAAGAGGTTTAGGACCTCTCTAGTAGCCCCACGCTTAGCGTGACCATTCTCACACTCGACACAATTGCAAAACTTGCACATCACAAATTCACAATTTGTGACACACATACTCATCCATATCCATTATTCTCAATTATCATTCAATTGGTCAATTAATCTATCTTTACTCAATCCACATTACTATACTACTAGAACATGCATAACTCATCCAATCAATCAAGATTCTCGAATTTATACACATAATACCCTAGTCTACAAACTCATCAATCCTTAGAAACAATTCAATCTAACATGAAAGCAACATCTTAACTCATATAATATAAAGGAAATCAACAACTAATTCATAAACAATCACACATATTACATTCATCTACTTACGAGGCTTAGGAATCACCCCTCTACCCTTATCTCTTGTATATGCTCAAGGATTCAACATACTTAATCCTCTCCTACCTAGAATAATGATTCTTGTAGAATGATGCTCCTTTGGTAGCTCTTGCTACTAATTCGTGCCTTCCTCAGTGATTTCCTCTAAGTCTCCTCTTCCAACCACTCTATGTTTCAAAAGATGTATAATGACCTAACTCCCTCTCTATTTTTCTCTTTTAAATTAGTCTTTGGATTGAGTTCAAAGCTAGCCCAAGATCTTCGGATTAATTTCCCCCATTTTATTTTTATTAATAAAATATTTCTCTAATATATTTTAATTATTCTCATTTATTTATTTTAAAAAAATAAAATGTTACATAATGGACTAACATGGTGTTAAGGGATGCATGGATGTAAGACTATGTAAATGAACCACCATCAACCACATAATCCCCCTGCCCATCCCCCTTAGACTTTGTCCTACTTATTATTGTTCTTTTCTAATTCTAGTTATAAGTTTATATATTTTGTTTCTGTTTATTTTTACTATCTACTTTTTATTTTTACTATCTTTTAATGTTAAATTTGTAAATTTATATAATTAATTTCTATATATAAAATTTATGTAGTTTTTATATATCAATAAAAATTTAAGTTAATTTTACATTAAAATTATACTAAAAAAGTTCTTCATAGTATATTATTTTCCAGAGGTAATTACATTGACCTATTACAATATTAATGATAATTATATATAAGTTTTGTTTAATTTTAAAATTTTACCTATATTTGTTTTTGCCTATGAACACCCTTTAATTTTGAAAACTTGTATACACCTCTTTTTTCTGTTTTTTTTTTTTAATCTATAAACTATATATGCAGTACTCTTAAAAATAACACACCAAAGGACTTGCAAAGAAGATATGCATAATTTTTTTAAATAAGTGGAGTTTAAATCTAATCTATTCCTATATATTAAAGAGATTGTCTGTTTTTGTGTACATTTTATTTGAAATAATTTTAATTTTTTAAATAAAATTAAAAAACTATTAAATAGAAATTATGAAAAGTTATAAAAGTCTTTTAATGTATAATAACTACGTGAGTAGTTAAAAGGAATCATAGAGTAACTTTTCTATCACTAGTTATCCATAATATTTATTGCCCCCCTCCCTCCTCCAACATCCCACAAGACCACTCATTAAAATAGAAGATTGAAGTTCAAATCTTTTACTTCTGACAAAAAAAATGGAATAGAAAAGTGTTGCAGTTTTGTTGCAACTCCATTGTGATTGGTTCTGGTATTTCTTGTGATTAAACTTCACACCACAATTGCGAGCTATTTGCGGTTGCAAGTAGTTCAAAACGATAATATTGTGACTACAACTGCAATATTGTGTTCATGCTTCCCCGTGACTTCAACAAGATAGTATACGCTACACAATTTATGATTAACTGACAGTGTCTAAGCTAAGTCATTGTCATTTATACTGCAACATTTATAATGACTTGGAAGCCTAAGTGTGTGTTTGGTATCCCTTCTTGGATGTGTGTTTAGAGGTAAAAATCACGGCAAAACAATCCTAAAGATGCAGAATCTATAGATATTTGCTTTTGTGGATATGGATCAACTTTGACACAATGCAATAGTAAACACGTACTAATTTCACTAGAATTTTGAATTACAACAGAAATAGTAATGCCAAACCAGGTTAGACCAAGAAGGTTGACACACCTTTTCTTTTATGGATCAGCTGTAAAAATCCTGTTGATATCTGAGTTCCATGAATGCATAATGGATAACTTGTTACAAGGACAAAGTCATCTTACATTGAGATCATTGTACAAGCAATAAAATTTATCTTGAGTTCAATGAATCGTCCTTTTAGAGGTATAAAAGAACCAAAAATTGGTTACAATGAATATCTCAGCAGTGGGTGAAGGGTCAAAAGGACTAGCAAAAATCACTACTGTTTCACCATGAAGGAACTTTTACAACTGCAACCACCAACTGCACTGGGGTTTTCAGTTACCTGCATATGAAACCAGAATCTGATTGTAAATTTTGACATCGCCTAGATACCTTTATGATATTAATATGCAACCTTATAACAGAGTAATGATAAACACATGCTCCTTCTCACCGCTACACTCCTCATATGCATATTAGTGTACCAACACTTATCTGAATTGAACATCAATACTTCTCTAAAGACCATACACACCACTTTTAGGGTTCTGCAGCAAAACTCTCTTTAAACACAACCATGAAATGAAACAAAAGAGAAAACATGTGAAATTAATCGAGAGTAGACCCAAATAACTTGATCACAGGTGGTCATCACCGATTTTTCTTACAGAACAAAAGCATCTAAAGGTATTTCTTGGTTGATTACAAATCAAGTCAAATCTATTAAGATCAAGAGAAACTGTATCAGGTTCACTTACGAAAGTTTTCTGAAAAATTTCAGATAAATTTCAGATAAATTCCCAAATTCTTTCGCAGTTTGAAAATTCCAAGATTTCAAAAGATTGAAAAGGGCTTAATGTCCTGGGAAAACTGAACCATAAGATATCAGTGAAATGTTCTCCAATTCAAACTCACTATTAAGTGTGTGCCATCCAACGTAATGCCAATCCAACACTTGCATTCCTTTTACAATTGTGCATTGGAATGTGTAAAACTTCCATTGAACACCAATGAAACGGATCTCATAACACAAGCTAACACATGCAAATCAGCAACAAGCCAATAATCACTTTGATAAACACTTGCAGAAATAAGCTGCCTTCAGGTCTTTTTTAACATATGCATCCATTACTAAAAGAGCTAAAGATATGAGTCGCTAGTGTTTTTTCCAAAAAATTCCCAAGAAAAATATACTCAAGTGCATGTTTGGATTAGATTATTTTGAGGAATTTTCTTTTTTGTAAATTTAAAAGAGCTTTTGAAAAGTAAAAGGAAACAATTATTTCTCAAAAGCAATCAGTTCCAAACGTGAACAAAGAACTATTCTTCTCTAGTTGTTAGCTAAATCATAAAGTTCCACGCCAAAATAAGGGTGGAGTGAAAATATGAAGACAATAATTTATGCACAGCTCACAAGTGTACTAGACTTACCACGAATGCTGAACGGATTAGCTCCTCAACATAATCAACAGTTGCCCCTTTTACAAAATCGTACGATAAGTTGTCAACAACCAATTTAATTCCTTCTTTCTCAAAAACTCTGCCAATGTCATAATAGAAGTTGTAAAAACAAGGGCTTGCATATCATCCTTGAAATTTGACTGGGAAAAGGTAATACCTATCATCTGAGTTGATTCTGTCCTCCAGATTAAAAACATACTGGAATCCAGAACATCCACCAGTTTCCACACTCAAACGAAGCACTTTTCCATCTGTTGATGATTCATTAGCTTCCAGTTCCTTCATTCTCTGTAACATATTAAGTTGTAGAAATGAATCAATAACAGTATTGATGACTTGTAGTGATATATAGTTTCTGTGACTTATACATTATGAAATCACAGGCATGGGGGTGAGGGTCCATGAATCAAACTAAATATAAATTTCATGGATTCAAAGTTTAAACAAAACAATAGGTCATCGCTAACTACTGAAGCAAGACAATGGATTATGGAATGCAGAAGGAATCATGCATCTACCCCTCTAGTTGGAGAGACAAGGGTGTCCGAGGGGTTGTTTAGTTTGAGAATTTTTTTTTCTTTTTTAATTACAAAAATGTCACATTTATTTATTTATTTTTCCACTTTGTTTCTTGTTTTCATTTTCTGTCTTCAACAAACTTTTGAAAGCAGGAGATAAAGAGTAAACAATGTGACATTTTTGTATATAAAAGCAAAAACAGAAATGTTTTCTGAAATCAAATGGCTCGTTAGTTTCTTTCATTACGATGAAAACCGACTAAGTTTCCCACTTGAGTCAGCTATGCTTCTCAAGTTCTAACTTCTCACCATAGCTTCTAGTACTCAAGTTAGTATAATCAAATATAATAAGGACTATAAAATGCTACAAGCTGTTGGCACTTGGCACAACCTGCATCATCGAAACAACAGTTACATAACTTATTCCAATGACCTGAGGCATACTTGAAACTTATGACAGTGAAGAATCCACTGAATAAAGCATGTTCATGTCTTTCCCAAATCCCAAACTAGTATTATATATCAAACAACAACAACAACAAAAGTCTTATTCGTCTAATCCCATTAAGTTAGGTCGATTACATAGATTACACGACACAGAATCCATTCGACTCGATTAAGGACCAAATCTTCAAATATATTCTTCAACACATGAGAACTGGATATATCTGACAAACAACAATTTATATATATATATATATATA